CACACACACACACACACCCCCACACCCACACACACCCCCCCACACACACACACACACACCCACACACACCCACACACACCCACACACACCCACACACACCCACACACACCCACACACACCCACACACCCACACACCCACACACCCCCACACCCACACCCAGACACAGACACAGACACAGACACAGACACAGACACAGAGACACGTGATATATGCAAGGGCAAGGAGGATCTCCTTTGCGACCGTTTTTTCTTCTTATTGCTCCTTGGAGTCGCAGGCCCAGCAGGCCCAGGCCCTGACGGCACCAGGCCATGGCGCAGGGCGCGAGGCGGGGCGGGGCTCGTGGCATGTGGGGGCATGTCGTGGCAACTGCGTCGTGGCTCCGTCGCGAGGCCCATGGTGAAGGCGGGGAGATGTGGGGAGCAGGCATTTATCACCCTTTCGAGTTCGAATTGTTTCGATTGACGGCGAAGTCCCGTGCTCTTCCCGCCGCTTTGCCGGAGGCTTTCCACTCAACGAGCCCTGTCGGCATGGCCTGCAGGGTTTGCAGGCTTCCCGGCCACCGCAGCCTGTCATTTCCGCTCAGCTGGGCTCCCACGTTCCGTGGCTTGGCGGCAAGTGGCTGTGGCAAGTGGAAAGAGAGGCAGAGGACCGCTTTTGGCAGGCAGAGTGGGCCGACGAGCACCGTGGCGCCGGAGGCCTTTTGCCTTCGGAGTTTCTTCCGAAGCTTCGCCTTGGTCCTTGAAGGCCCCCGCGTCGGCACCTCGAGCCGCCCAAGCGGCGCCCGCGTGCTTCGCGGAGTTCAACCGGATCTTGGGGAAGGCCAAGGCCGAGGAGGAGATGCTGGCGAACGCTCCTCGGCGCTCTCACGTTGGGATGTCCCCTGATCTCTGTGGCGATCTTTCCAGGTAAAGGCCTACCTGGACGGAATGGCAAAGAGTCTGGGGGACGGCAAAGCCAAGCAGGCCCCGCAAGAAGCCTCGCCTGCCGTCGCGCTTGCTTTCAGACTTGCGTGGGCGGAACGAAGCCGGCGAAAGCCAGTCGAGGATTAGGAGCGGGCTGACGCGTCACACGAACTCAGAGTGCTGCCTGTCACGGCCAACGATGATAAGCCGAAGACTGAATTACAGGATGACGTGTTGATGTTCGTCTGCCTTCTCTAGGTCTCCAGGTCCTAGGTTCTGGCAAAGAGTCTAGGCCTGACGCAGCCAAACGGTGGAGTCTACAAGGGGTGAAACAAGCAAAAGGCCCAAGAACTTTGCTCACTGGAGAATCTCCTTGCTCCTATTGATAGGGAGGAAGTCTTTGCATGAAAGGCCCGGGCGCTCAAGCTCAAACAAGATAAGGACTGTGGGGGGGGATCCCTGTGTCACAGTGTCCACAAGAATGGACTGCGTACAAGTTTGTTTCAAACCAGCTCAAGCTTCACAAAAACTGGGCACCTTTCTTTTCGCGCGTCGCCCTCAGAAGTAGGGAGAATGCATGTGTGTCCCAAGTGGACACCTTTTGGAGGTGCTTTAAGCGCAGCCTCATGAGTACAGTGGGCACCAAGGGTGGCCATATGTCCAAGACGAGGCAATCGGTTTGTGTGGGCACTCCTGGCCCGAAGCCGGCCGTTCCTTCCTCGGTGGACTTTCAGAGCATGGTAAGACCATGTTCGAAGGTCCGGACAGCATTGCCACATAGCAGGCTCACCAGCTAGGTCGACATCTGTCAAGACATCCGACAGAAACGAAGTACCAGCAGCAAGCAAACGGCGAGGCAAGAGGCACCTCCACTTCCGTCCTGAGCGGTACATCTGGCCTTCCTGGTCTCAACACGGCTTTCGGACTCCTCCCTAGGCTTGTGTGAGACAAGCCGAAGACGGGTTCGGCGTCCTAAAAAGTCTCCTCTCTCTCTTGAAGCGTCAAGACGCTCTGTTTTCCAGTGCCGGCTGAGAGGTTGGTGTTCAAGACGGCTGAAGACGTTGAACATCGTCTGGTAGGAATGTTGGTATCCTGCCTCGCCTGACTCTGTCGAGCGCGAGCGCTACAAAATGACGGCACAGACCGTAGTCTAGTTGACATGCACCTCAGCCAGGTGTGTTGGCACTAGAACCGCAACGAAAGAGGCCTCAGGGATGTACAGTGCCCGCATAAATGCCGTGGACAATGCTAGGAAAGGATTCCAATCTCGACTGTGGGCTGCCCAAACAAACGGCACCTTTGCTACACCAAAGCCCCACGTCAAGGTGGCAGCGCAGAATGCAGCGCCAGTCCCTCGCACCCAAAATGCTGGTCGAAACGTTGGGGTGCCAACAAGGATATGCAAAGGCTTTCCGGCAGAGCATCTTCAAGTGGCTCACAGGTACCAGAAGTCCAATCATCTGCAGAGTCACGGCCAGGGCAAAAGAAAAGGAGAGAGAGATTGAACTCGATGTAGCTGCTGAGCATCACATTGGAAATAGCATGACAGTCGGACCGACCGTAGAAATGAGGGCATGCTGCACGCAACGAGGCCGTGAGGCGGTAAAGAATTTGGAACCCTTTGCTGCGAGGTTATGTACAAAAGACGGGATGAGGCTACGATGAACGTTGACATAATGTACATGGTCTAAACAAAGCCTGGCAAGAAGGTCTTTCAAAGCTGTTCGATCTGCTTGTACAGGGACGAACTCGCAATATGCGACGGTGCCATCGTTATGCCAGTACGAATGTCGCCTAAGCAGCCGTGAACTGTGAACCGTTGCACTTTGTGCGTTGATGCTTGCCGTTGCCTTTGCCACACGACCTTTGTCCTTGGGGTTTTTATGGCGGGGTTTGGGGTCAAAAGGGTGTAGTAATTCTCCTTCTTCCACTGCAACTTCTCGGCTTTGGCCCCGAGACTGGCCTTCGCCGTTTGATTTGGCTTAGACCCTTTGGAAAAATCCATCCACTATAGGCCTCGAACTTGAACCGCTGCTCCACCGGGAACTGGATCGCCCAGATTTTCTGGATAGAGTTTCTGAGCTATGCGTGGATGTGTTGGACGCCACCCCGGAGTTTGACTTGGATGTGCGAGCACGACCTTCTGTGTGAACACGTCCTCGTGAACCCCTGTTGTCCTTGATTTGCATGTTGTACTTGCCAAGGCTGAAGTCTTGTGAACCGTGATGGGCTTGCCACGCTTTTTGTGCTTGTCTGATCCATCTTGCTGCTTCTTGACACCCTGCGCCCCGAGAGTCAGAGAAGCGAAAAATTGCCCGAGCATCATGGACTCGTAGCTGGCCTGTGCTTTCTCGAGTTCTTGCTGTCTCTTCTGTTGCTTGGCCTTCATTCCAGTGACCCGCTTGACTGCATCAGAGGAATAGAAAGCCTTGAGCTGTTCGGTGTATTCAGCATCTTGCTTGAAGTACTGCTGTGTTGCAGTCCACTCAAGGGGCCTGCTGAGATTGATGCTGCTTCACAAACATCCAACTCTCTTTTGCATGTCTCTACTGCATGGTTCGCCAAGCGTGCTCCAAATCATGTGCCCGCATCGGTGCATCACCTTTGATCTTTCAAATTCAGATGGTGCCGCAACTGCTTTCTACTCCTTGGGAAGTTTGGGAATAAGTGTGCATTTTGCTGTGCCGCTTCACTACACATACAAGTCGGCAACCATAGTTCACACATGCCGCATCACCATCATCAACTATGTCTTGTGATGATTCTATCTTTCCTTGGTACACTTTCGTTGATAGGTCTTGACCCTTCCCAGCAGTGGCTGACGCCTGTACAAACAAGCCTTACAAGTTACGTACAAGATACATCTTGGACGCCCCTGGATATCGTCAGTGGGCTTTGCTCGGGACAGTGGGTGGTCCAAGTTGTCCTGTGATGCTGGGACACGGAGTCTCGAGGAGGGTATTCTCTCCTGCGTTTGCCGGGTGGTACTTGGCCTCGGTCTTTTCTGAAGGAGAGTGCATTCTGCCTTGGGGCTCCCCCCAGTCTTCAGTACTCTCGAGATCCCTGCGTTGCGACATGGTCAGCTGGGCGGGTGGGAACAGCTATGTCGTGGTTGCTGTCAGTATCAAGCATTCGCGTGTTCTTCAAGGTAAGGCTACAAGTGGCGCATAGTCATTCATGGCTCGCTACACATGCCTTCATCGCGACCTCATTCTCGTCTGACTTGGTATGACTCTTTGTATGACTTCCCGATGGTGTCAAGCTGTACATTGCGGCATGGTGCCATGACTGTTTCATGGTAACGTCGAGCCCTCGTCATGGCCTAGCTAGCAACATTACATGTACTGCCTAATAGTTTCATGGTGCGACGGGGGAAGTTTGCCAGTTTTTAGCTGCTTGGCTCTGTGATTTTTTCTTTCAGTTTTTTCCACGGTTTCTCCGGCCATTCCCCACGGCAAAAAAGAGCTACCTACGGCCCCCCTTCTGCTGCGGCGCGCAGGCCTTTGCTCTGCAGCTGGCCAGGCTCGGGCTCGGGATTTCGTCGCTTTCTTTTTCTCTTCTGTTTCCTGGCGGAAAGAGCTTCGTGTCCGACCCTTTTAATTTTGCAACTTGCAAGGCATCCCTGGTTTCAGACCCCGGGCTGCAAACAAAAACTGAGCTGAGCCGATTTCGTCCCTCCTTTTTCGGTGGCTGCCACCGAGCCGAGGACGGGCTACGAGCTCCGCTTCCGACCCGGCGCCGGCACCTTCGACGTCGCGCTGACGCCGGCTGCCCGGGTGCCTCAGCCGCAGGAAGTTGCAAATAAGCCGGGCTCCAAAAAGCCTCGGGGAGGGCTCGGGGGCTCCTGCTCCTTGCAAGGCCTTGAAGCGCAAGGCCAAAGCCGCAGCGCTGGGGTAAGGATTCAGAAAAGGCGCCCGCGCGCATGCCGTTGGTAAAGCCGCTGTTGGTTTTTGCTTCGGCTGCTTGCCGTCTCATTGGACATTTCACGCCCTGGGTGTTCTATTCCTCAAGCACCGCCGTGCGGCTGCCAACACTTGGCCTTTTTGCAGTCTCTGCCTGCCCCGGTTGTGGCTGCGGCCTCGGCCTTGGAAGGGAAAAGAAACTGTGGGGGCTCCAACTTGTCGTGACGCAGGCTGGAGCCATGCCGGACATGGTGGGGAAGAAAGTTGGTGGCAGGGCCACTTCGATTGAAGCCGGGGGCAACAGAGTCGGGCCGGAAGCTGCGGGGATCTGAGGTTGTGATGGTTTCCTCACTCGATGAGGGCCACCCCGTTTTTCGACTCAGCTCGTTCGACGTATCGTCTGCCCTCTTCCAGGTGGAAGTTTCCGAAATGGATAAGCTGAAGCTGAGGGCGAGAACATCATCGATGGCCGGGAAGAGACCTACTGGATCTCCACGGGCCTCTATCCTCAGGCGGGAGCGGCACGGCCGGATGTGCCGGAGCGATGCGCCTTTTGCATCCTGGGCAGGAGATCCTCCTCGGCATGAGCGAGCGCTCGATGGTTTCGACCGTGAAGATCGTGACGAGCAACGTTCGGTCACTCCGTTCCTTGCCTGGGTTTCTGTAAGTACTGCCTACCGAAGTCGGGGGCTTCTTTCGGTTCCCTCCAGTCGAAAAACGGCCATTCACTCCTCCCTTCTGTCCCTCTCTCTCTCAGGCTCTGTCCCTCTCTCCCTGTCTCTCTGTCTCTGTCTCTCTGCTTCTCTCTCTCTCTCTCTGTCTCTCTCTCTCTCTCTCTCTCTCTCTCTCCCTCTGTGTCTGTCCCACACTCTCTGAAGGAATAGAAAGCTGCGCAGAGGACGCTCTGAAGCGTAATGATCTGTTTCCCGGGCCCGACCTTGTTTTTTCTGCGTTCAGGACGACCCTGTGAACTTCAAGACCTTGGCCGAAGACGAGTTGGAAGAGTTGCGGCTTCCTCGGTTTTCGCTTCGGGCTGCCTTTTGCAGACCGTTTTTGGGCACAGGTCAGGCCGTCTGCAAGTCAAAGAAATCCCCTGTCAGGCCCAAACTGGCAAAAAGGTACTGCGATGCTAAAGGCAGCTGTGGCATTGTGACACACCCTTCCTGTCGCCGAAAGGGCGTCGAGCCTGCCGCCTACATCAAGGTGCTGATTCTCTCAGGCGCGATACTGCACACCACTTTTTGCAGCATGTCATTTCCGAGAATGCAGATGCACTGCAGCCAGGCTATCACGACTTCTGTACAGTTCACCGCGTCATAGTCGAGTGAGGCTTGGGAGGTGCAGTCCATAGCCCCACCTTTCGAGGCTTAGGCTGAGAAGTAGCCGATGCAAGTATCGGATCTTGGCCTTGCACGGCCAGTCGGATCCTATGCATGGCAGCTAAATATTGCTGCGAATCTGTGCTCGTTTGCGAGAAAACGGGGCTGGACTGCTGGGCAGGACGTGAGCAAGCGCCTTTCTGTGTCTGCGTGTCTGCAGTTGTTACTCTGTGGAAGCATTCGTGGTTTGAGCTGCAGCTGTGTAGACAGCCCCACACGAGGCGAGCAGGGACCCAGAACATCCACATGCTTGTGATTAGCCTCATCATGGAAGGGAAGTAGGCGCATCAAGCCTCCTGCCATGTCCGACCCACATATTCCGGAAGCATCGAGCTCTCCGGAAGCGAAGGATGCAGAAGCTTCCGACGCGGTTGATGCGATGGAGAGCAGTGACGGGAGTGAGTCTGACGAGGAGTCCGCCTCACCTCGGGCAAGGTCCAGCTATGTGGTGGACAACGAATCTGGCGTGGCGCTGCTCCTTGAAACCCGATGTAGACACGGTGCTAGCAGCACCCTGGTCAGTGCCTGGAGGTGTGGCAAGCTGGTTTGGGAGCATCAGATTCGAGGAAGCGTAGAGCATACAACAGTGGCTCAGGGCTTCGTCGCGTTTGCGACGCGCACAGCCCTACACTTGCTCAGCACGGTGGGCGGATATGCGTTGTTCCCGCCTATGGACCGAAACTTAGCTTTGCAGCTTTTCGGTCCTAGGTCCAATGTTCACTTGGGCATCACTGCATCGCGTTCTTTGATCTTCTCTTGTACATGTTCGCTGACCTCACAACGGCCCCAGAAGATCTATAGTCACCCCGGAGATCCCATTCTGCGGGGGTCTGCGGACAGAATAATATGTCCCAGCAGCAGACGTACCAGGCATTCGCTCGCTTAGTTCGCATTGACTCGCGGAGTTGTTCGCGAAGCCGACCATCCCCACTCTCAAGCGGGTTTCAACTGCCGGCTATTACTTCCATGTGCTTCGGTTTTTTCGGAGGCATCGCAAGCCTAAGTCTACATCAGGACTCCTTGTTTGCCTTGTGTTTTCTCTGCGGGGCCAGGGCCAGGCTCTCCGACCTGCAAAAAATCAGCGAGAGCTCTCCAGCATGGAAAGCGAGATTCGTCGTGTAAAGAAAGTTGTGACAGGCTGGGCGACGGGGGTGGAAGCAGAACATGCGCGATGTCAAAAGACTAGACACGACTAGACACAGAGGCGAACATGCAACCGAAGAAAACTGGACTCACGTCGCTGCAAGGCTGTAGGGATGGTGTCGGATGCTGTGACACGAGAGCAGAGCATCTCTCCCTCTGCTGTACACCCCAGCGGAGCCGAACATTTGCATGCAAGTCTTCGGCGGAGAGCTCTAGGGACTGCGCGGCACTTCGAGGTGCTCGACAGCCCCGTCTTGCAGCTGGACATCCGAACTGGAGGCAACGGTCCCCGAAGCCGCCGAAGCGTGAAGCGAAGAGCCGCAGCACCGTGTGGCTCTTGTGCCTCTCGTTCTGGTTTCCGCGTCCGCGCCTGGAGGCTTCCTGCTGGTCCTGGGCTGCGACAGCCGGCTGAGCGTCCTGGACCTGCGAAGGGACAGCAAGCTGGGGCAGGGCCCGGGCGAGACGCCATCGAAGCTTCTCTTTCTGCAGACGGAGCTCCGGCAGCTCTGCGAGCCGATGGCCCCTCTGCAGCACCACGAGAAAAAGCACAGCAAACCTCTCTGCGGAAGCAACAGCCGCAGCAGCAGGCAAGAGCACACAGACATGCGTTTTTGGTAAAGTCGGTAAAGTGTAAAACAGTTCTTGCTGAGGATCTGAAGTCCGAGTCCCTTCAGCTCAGTCCAGCAGGCGATCTAAGCCTTCGTCTGCCGGACGGCCAAGTCCTCTGCTTCGACAGGCGCGCGGCTGCCCCGGCCCTCCCCCTGCTTGCAGAGACCTTGGGAGTAGGGCAGGAGAGCGGGAGAGGATGTCGTGTTTGCAGGAGCTGCCAGCACTGGACAATCCAGGAAGAGGTCTGCGACAGCCCCCAGGAAAATTGTAGGGCCTCTGCATGAAAGCGAAGTCTCAAGACATTCTCAATGCGAGTTTCCTTTCGTCAGTTGTCGCAGACACATGAAGCATGCTACCGCCGCTGTTTCTTTGGGCTGGCGGGGCTTGAACACCGAAAGTCCTTCTTGGCATGCCTTGAAGCAGCCGGTGCCCTGAGTGACGTCACGGAGCGCGCAGTCTTTCTGAGATGATCCGACAGAAAACGCAAAGAAACGCACCAGAAAAAGGTGTGGTGGGCTATGTATGGCGTGGGAGCCTGAGTCAGTCCCAAAAGAGTCGAGGGTTGGGGCTGGAGATCCCTCCCTGTTTGGCCGGCTCTAAGGACCCGCTCCAAGAGGCCTCCGTCTCCATGTCTTGAAGACTTTCGCTCTCTCTGCAGAGTGAGAGAGCAGAGGGAGCAGAGAGAGAGTGTGTGTGTTTCGGGCTTTTTTTTGCCTGTGCTGAGGGCCTGCACGGCAACGCTCTTCGAGGAGGCGCACGCGGCCCCGGCGATCGGTGGTTTGGTGCCTTGTCGAAAACGAGCCGAGCCTCTCCGAGCCTCTCCGAGCCCTTTGCGAGCTGCGCCGAGCTGCGCCTTTGCCTTCGGCGGCTGCCCAGGTCTTGGCCCAGGCCTTGCACGAGTTCACGCTGCCACCGGAAGTCGTGCCTTGGCCGCTGCTCGCCCGTGGCAGCCCAGAGAGACCTTGCAGAAACGCCGCAGAGCTTTCTCCTCTTGAAGAAGGTGCTCTTTGAGCCGTCGGCCAACGACATCCACCGCGGCGGCACCCCCGCGCCGGAGGGAAAGCCGGGCATCTCGGCAGAGATGCGGATTCGGGTGAGCCGGGTTTGTTGCGGCTGAGTCGTTTGACCAATGGCTTTCCACGACCACCTGGCCAAGACCTGGCCAACTTGGGCAGGGCCCAGAGATGGGAAGCATCAAAAGCCCCAAAGCACGTACGTTCACACGCAAAAAAGACTCTTGCTTTTCCTGCGGCAAAGCACGCGGAGGTCGGGGTGTGCATGACATACCACCCTTTGAAAAGTAACCAAAGCATTAAGCTACCGACCAACCCCATTGTGGGACGGGTGCATGCGCGGGACCCCATGTATCAAACCTCAAGGTACTTGCACAAATACGCCGTCGCCCCCTATGTACATGCAGTTGACAGTTTCTGTGCGGAGGAGGACCTCCGCACCACACACGCACACGACAAGCCGCACTTTGGAAGGGAATTTGAGGAACATGCACCAGCCATTGCAGGACAGGTATGTAGAGGTACTTCCGTGTATCAAACTTACGGATACCCCACATACATATGCACGTTCCCCGTTCCCCAGCCCTCGGCGGATAAATACGTATAGTTGCGTACATACAGTATACAAGCCCCTCCATGCGGGTACGTTATTCGCACAGGTAAGAGCAACGGTGCTGCACTTCATGATTGATGTTGCTGATTTCCTTTTGCTGCATGATCTCATGAACTGTGCACTGTCGCACTTTGAACTGCCTTTCCTTGCTGCTGTATAACCTTGCCCTTTGCTTAATTGCACTGCTGCACTGCCCTCCTTGCTCCACCTGCCCGACTGCACCATGCACTGTACACCTTATCTGAGTCGTGGCGGGAGCTGACCTTAAATGAAAGGGGGTCTTAGCCACGGCAGTCTGTAAGTCTGTAGCCTTGGATGCATCTGATCCTTGACCTCCGAGACCGGTTCAATTGCAGCAGTTGTGTTGAAACCTAAAGTCCTTTCGGCTCCTGGTTTCGTAGAAGACACGAACGCATCCCATGTCAGAAGGTGCGGCCGTCTTGTCGATTTCCTGGACCCGAATCCCCTACTGACCTGAGGACCCCACATGAGAGGAAACCATGTGACGAGTGTGTCTGCGGCTCCTTCACCGCGCGACAGCAAGAGGTTTGGAGTGTGTCTGAGGATGACGACGACAGCCAATCGCCCCCACCAGGTGCGAAGGACCCCCGTCCGAAATGACCGAGGATCGTCGTATCCCGCCTGAGATCGCATCCATGCTGCCTCTCAGGAGTCGAGGACCACCATGTCAGTCGAACATCACCAAAGTGTATAAACATGATCCCCCAGTCCTTCAAGAAACGATCCCCCAATGGTTTCTCTTTTCTAGTTGATGGCGGGAGCCCGTGATGTAGAGATTTCACAACTTCACATTGACTCATTCCATCGACATGCCATTCCTTAGGTTTTTCGTTACACGCTAAGTGTCACGGATTGCCCCGAAGCATAAGTTTAGAGCACATGCGTAGAGTCACAGGAGCTTCCATGTCCCAACCATGGTAGCGCGTCTCCTTCCCCGAGACCAGCGCATCCGTGCCCTTTCATGACTAAACTTCAATGACATTCAAATCAATCCGCGGTGCATACGGGCTTGTTGTATCATATCTTGTTGATTTCCAGCTCACGCAGGATCTGAGCCTGGGTTCAACAGTTTCATACTGGTTCACATGCGCCACATATCCATGCATCCATCCATCCATCCGTCCGTCCATCCATCCCTCCATCCAATGCGCTGCATTCCCATGGCAGCGCATTGCGTTACATCCACCCATCATCCACGCATTCCGTCCATTCAGGGCATGCATACCACATGAGGAACACTTCGTGCGTGCGATTGTGTAGTGGTTGCCGGGCCGCGCCCTCAGGTAATCGCCTGATATTCCTGAATGTGCCCTTGTTGGACTTCGAGCAGAAGGCCCTTGAAAGCCTCCACGATGCATTGAAAGACGAGAAGGCAGGGGGGACCCGGTAAGCGCATGAGCAGAGCAAGTCTACCGCCGTGCAGTCCTGGAGAAGCGCGGATTTGTGAAAGCCATGCTCGCAATATCTCACACTATTTTTCTTTATCGTGATTCTTACATGTTTCGGCGCCTTCGCAAGCTCCGACTTCGGGGGCCGTGGCCGCGCACCAGGTCAGGGGGGTGGGGTGTGGGTGCTGCAACACCGTTGCTGCTCTGTTCGATTGCAATCATCGCCACCATGTCATCATGTGAAAGCGATGACGATGAACGTCCCTGGCGACGATGACGAAGATAGCAGCAAGAGACGGTAGCCATCATAGAGCTGCTGTGCTGCAAAAGCACGCGGAAGGCTTTGGCTCCATTGGGCGACGGAGTGATCCCGTCCTACGTGCGTTTGCATGCTCTCCGGATCCTGCAGCAGCTCTTCTTTTAAATGCGGAAATGTGCGGCGGGTCTTCAGACGTCGGTTGCGTCTTGCGCAGCTAAGGCAGTCGAAACTGCGTGTAGACAAGGCTCCTCGACATCGGTGCTCCTTCGAGTTCCAGGCTTCAGAAGTCGTGCGGTGCAGTGCGGTGCAGGCGCTTAGCACGATCGCCACGCACTTGGAGATGCGAGTGCAGAAGATGCCAGTGCACGAGGAGCTGGGCCGTAGACAAACACGTTTCGGAACCAGGAAACGAAGGGACCGACCCCACAGAACAAAGAGGGGCGACTCCTTTCGAACCTATCCGTTGCTGGTGTCGTGTCTTCCTCGGCTCGGCTCGTTCTCCAGGCAGCTGCTACATGCTAGCGGCTGCTAGCGGCTAGCTTTCGTCCAGAGTCTCCTGTTTATGAATTGAACTGATCCTACTCATGGAACCTATTTGAAGGAGTCTGTGCTCAACGATTTGAAGAGCGGGATGATGTACTGGCATGGGAGAGATCGATCTTGTCGCCCGGTCCTTGCCAGCGGCTCAGTCAAGGTTGCAGGTTTCCATGGTGCTGCACAATGCTGCTCTGCAGATTTGGCGAATGGAGAAGATCACTAAATTTGACGCAGATCGGGCCACAAGGATGCGGCATTTTCTGATTGTCATCCCACGTATTGGCATTTCCCAGCCTTCCAGCAGGATGATTCTTTTCATTCTCGAGTTCGCTGTACGATACCTGATGGTCCCGGGGCGAGTCGAGAACTGGGTGCTTATTGTAGAACTTCCGGCACGTTTTCCATGTCGCAGCAGAGGCTTGACCTATAAGCGCATGGCCAGGATTTGGCGGGTTGCGGCCTGTCAATGGCAGCGGCATCGTCTTTCCGCACCGTCTGCAGGTGCCGTCGGCTCGTCTTTCAACCCTAGTATGTGAGGGTAGAACACCAAAGCAGCTCCTGGCGAGAAGCTGAAAGACGGTCGGCACGGCAATGTTGGAGCCAACCGGCTTTTCAACCTAACGTTTCTGGCAGCAAGTGTGCTGTCGGCGGTGTTTACGCCATCACCCCTTGGGTGCAGGAACGTGACCCGCTTGTTGGAAGAGGTGTACTGCGACTTGGCTGCATGGTCAAGCTCGCTGCGTGCAGAGAAATCATGCCGTCGACGGTTGTCACTGGCCTGCAGGTGGCCGCAACTTCACGACAAAGATCTTCCACATGCCTTCAATTGTCCGGGCGATTGTGAATTCGCTGATACCTGAAGACAAGAAATCGAAGGTGGAGTTTGTGGCGGATGCCGACATTGCACCTCGTTTAGAAGCAGCACAGTTCGCCCCCCATGCTGTTCGCCCGTCGCGCCCGCTCTCTCTCTCTCTCTCTCTCTCTCTCTCTCTCTCTTCGTCCCCCCTCTCCTTTTTCTGGGTTCTTGATAGGGGATTTAATTGAAGTTACCATAGTGTAGGGATCTATCGTAAACAATATGGCTTCCTTATTATGGTAACTTAATAATAGAATCCCAGAACAAGAACCCACTCTCCTCCTCGTTTCGTCCAGGCGAAGAGCATGAGGCAGCTCTGCGAGGCCAACCAGCTCGAGGAGCAGTACGGAGGCACCGCTCCCAACGTCTCCCGGCGGAAAGCGAAAATTGGGGGGCCCTCTTAGGCTCTCTTTTTGGGGCTCTCTCTCTTCAATTTTTGGTGGCGGTTTTCCTCTTCTTTTTTGGCAATTTAGAGGAGGAGGAAGCACTTGGCGGCTGCTCTTCCTGAGGTGAGGGAAGGAGGAGCCTTTCCCTTCCGGTTCTTCCCCCACTGCCGTGGGCCGCGTAGCGGAGGCTCTCCGCCGCTGCCTTCCCTGCACGACATTGTCGCTCCTCGACTCCGGGAAAACGCTTTAAAGCGAAGGAGGTGGCTGTCTCTCACACGCACGTCGGCACGCAGAAGCAAAAAACACGCAGATCCGAGGACCGATCGTTTCACGAAGGCTTCTCCTTGGATCTTTTTGAGAAGGCCTGCATGCCGACGCTATATGGAAGGAGTGTTGTGCAGAATCGAGGGGAGGGGGGCCGCTCCGGAGGCCCAGGCGATCTGGCGACCCTTCATTGATCGTCAGCCGCTGACGAAGACCGGAGCCGAAACGGTTTCGAAGCTGCTGGCGCGGATCATTTCTCCGACAGACGCCCGGAAGGCCCTTAGCATGTTACGACCCAGGACGATCATCACGACTGTCATGCGCCGTGATAGCTTTCGATGACATCTCAGCTTGAACTAAGGAAACTCTGGAGCCTGTGGCGAAGCATCGTATGTATTTTCCTACTTTTGCTCTTCGCAGCGTCAAAAACATGCGCACTGTGATATGGATTGTGTAGGGAGCGAACCTCCAAGGAGCAGTGGCTGGCTCTGCAGAGCACAGAGGCTGCAAACAAGTATGCCACGCAGCATGTATCCGAAAGGCCCACCGAGGCACCGGATGGGAAGGGATGGAAGGGTTGAAGCCGAGACTGCGGACGCGAGAGAATGTCATATTTGTGAGGCTCCGGACGTCGAGCCGGAGCCCGTCTCTCCTACACTGTCGCCGCTGGGTTTGCATGCGAGGTTGCTTCCTTGATTCGGTTCTGGCGACCTGAAGCTGCAAGTGGCAGGAACGCCGACACCCGAACCGCCGATGTCCCGCCCCGAGAGGAGAGTGCTGTCCGCCGCACATCTGCAGCATTTGCACCAGCTAGAGGCCGCGAAGAGCAACGAGCTGGAGGCCCAGAAGGAGAAGGAGCTGGAGCCGCTGGAGCCGCTGGACTTCGACTTCTCCGGGTCTCTGGTGGTCCAAAAGGAGGAGGCGAAGGTCTTGCCGGTGATCGAAACGGAAGCGAAGGCCAGGCCTGCTCCGGAAAGAGGAGAGCCACTTGCCGTCCGACTCGCAAGAGGCCGTCTGCTGCGTCTGCTCGCTCTGAGGGCTCTGAGGGAGGGCGGAGCGAAGCCCTTTTTTTCCAAAGGAATCTGAGGCTTCGCACCGGCCCTGCGCAGCGAAGCGCAGCGAAGCGCAGCGAAGCTGGCAGCCGGGTGAAGACTCATGCGGCATAGGCAGCATAGGTAGGCAGTTAAGGAGACCGAGCCAAGAGAGAGGCTAGCGGGACCCAGGGAGAGAACCCCTCTGCGGACTGAGAGGCCTGCTAGAGGAAAGCCAGCCGGGACCAGGCAGCCGGGTACTGGGAGCGCCGAGACAAAAGCCCTGTAGGAGCGCGGGCTGAGTTCGGGTTGCATCTTTACAAGACGTGCTGCAGTATGGTCAGCAGGTTTTGAGCAGGAACTTCTTTTGGGAAATAGCCTAGGCGTAGTATTGCTGTTAGACGGAATCCTTGTAACACGGCGCACCGAAGTAAAGTGTTCGCCCTACTCCCCCTACTGTACCCCAGGGATGAGACAAAAGCATACCACGGCGTGTTCTCCAAGCATGTGTTGGGTCGTCCTGATGATGTCAAGGTTTCAGCACTGGGGTCGATTCATTCGCCTGGCTGTACAGAAGCCCCCGCCAGATTGCGAGAGAACCAGCAGGCATCCCAAGAAGTCTCTGGTGGTCGCTTAGATGAGTGGGTTTCCGGCGATGCAGAACTGCATGGCTTTTGCAAGCTTTTGCGTGCAGCTACAAGACAGAACATGCTAACAGAGTGGGTAGTATCACCCAGTTGCCCAAGAAACCCGTTTGCAGCACTGGCGTTAGCGTTGGCACCGTACAGACTGAAGCTCAGTCTCCCTGCTCGACTTGACACAGTGTAGAAGTGGGTTTTAGAAAGGGCCGCCCGCTCAGCCTGGAGGTGGCTGTGTGCGTGAGATTCCAGTCAAGTATGTGTTTGTGTGGTTTCGCGAGCTTTCGAATCGCAGGCTCCATGGATCAGAGACCCACCGGGAGATGTGGAACACACGGATGTGCGTGACAGTCCAAACTGAGTTGCAGAGCCCCACAAGCGTGTCCATCAGACTGAAAAGCTCCGACGATTTAAACAGTTTGGGCAGAGCATCAACACATGCCATGGCACGATGGTCCCCCGCAGCCTCCGGCGCCCCTCCTGAGAGCTGCGGTCTCGGTGCAAAAGCTGGAGAAGCGCTTACAGATTTTTCCGATGGCTTTCAGGATGCTTTGTGTGGTCTGCGGTCGTGCGGCAAAAGGCCGCTGTTCCACGTGCCGGCAGCCTGTCCAAGAAACTGCGATTGACCTGGAAAGTCTTCTATTTAGGCATTGGTTCGGCTGTCCCAACTAGGAATGTTTCGCTGAGGTCTGTCTACTACTGTAGCGAGCTGCTTTTCCGCACCAGACAACAGCGAAGCGTCCTCTCAGACTGTGGGAGCTTGCGGCCCGATCCGAGGAGCTGCCAGCTGCTCGACTGGTTCGAGGATCACGCGGCATGCTGCCAAGAGGACCGCGGCCTCTCCCTACGGGAGGACGCTGCTCTGTTGGAGGAGGATCCTGTCCAGCAGGCTACGGAGGTGGCTACAGCCTGGGAGCCCGACACCGACACGCCTCCGAGAACACCCACGCTCAGGCAGGCAGATGCAGAGCATTGCAGGGATCGGCAGCGGCGCAATGCGCTGTTCGTTGCCTGCTGCCACTGTTGCCTCAGACCGCCATCACCGCCCACAGCCGATGATTTCACGCCCGAGGCCGTGCCAGTCGAATGTGGTCTCTGTGACACCTGCCTGCCTGGGAGGATGAGGCGGTGGAGCTTTGGAGACAAGCGCTTTCGAAGCTGTCGTGGCGTGGCGGCACTGTCAGGTTGCTCTAACGGGCATGAGGGACAGTCTGACAGCTTAGGGAAGAGCTGTACAACGAGGATGATTTGGAGGAGTGGAGCTTAAAGCGCTCGGTGGACCTCGGTTCCGGAGTGCTTTGGAGGACCTGGCGGACTTGGAGGTCCTGGTGGCCAGTGCCGAAGAGATGCGGCTCGGCATCTGGATTTTGCGAAGCACGCGCGATGCTCTGTCGTTTGCCCGAGGCTGAGCAGCGGGAGACCGCGTTGTGAGCTGGTTTCCTTCGGTCCCCGGCCGGTCCTTCTGACGGCACCACACTGTTTGGCACTGCTGCTTTGAGACCAACTTGGTCGCTACAACATGTTAAACACATGTTACATCTGTGGCAGCCGCAGCCGTGACAGCCTTGGCCTGAGGCTCCGCGACGGGCAGTCGCCGCACCTGGTGGAGAAGCACACGATCGCCTCCCAGCCGCAGCCGAGCGGTGTCCTCTCTGCCTTGTCTCTCGTCTCTCTCTCCGTCTCTCTCTCTCTGCTCAGTTGCACTCCCTCCATCACGTCTCTCAGGAGATCGCCTCGGGCTGTGCTCGTTTCCTCAACGGGAGCGTCTTGAGTTGGTCGGCTTTGGAGCGGAGGAGGACGGAGCTCTTGTGGAGGCTCTCGAAGCGAGTGAACGAGGAGCGAGGCCGCTTCGACATCCGGGACGGCTTTCTGCTGGATCCCAGGAATCGGGATCCCAACTTCTTGGCCACCTCGGAGCTGAAGAAGAACGCGTGGTTTCAACAGATCCGAAAGCTTTCGGAAGCCTGGAGTCTGAAGTTTGGGATGGATTTGGAACTGCTTCACGTGGATGTCCATGGATGTCAGGATCCGCCGAACACCCCGTCGCATCTCACGGTTGGGCTGGGTGCCATGTGTTTCCATGCCATCGACCTTGGCGACGCGGATGCCTACGAAGATGCCATCTGCTTTGGCAACGCCGTCTGCCGTGAGTTGAGCCAGGTCCTGGCAAAGGCCCAGGGCTTGCGGCCGCGTGCCGCGCTGGTGCGTCTCGCAGCCCCAGGCCGCAAGCATGCCATGTGAAAAAGTATGTAGGCTGGCGGACCCAACAATCCCCTCCCTTTGCTTTGCTCTTTCGTGCTATCGCAGGACCTGAGGAGGAGAACTGCGCCCCGCGCTTCTCTGGGGCCTGGCGGGGCGGCCGGCACACGCAGTCGCAACAGGCGATCAAAGCGGGCTTCAGCCACGCCGTGCAGCTGGAGCTCTCCAAGTCACTGCGAGCGATCCTGGCCACGGACGAGGTCCTTTTGTCCGGCTTCGCCAGCGCCTTGCGAGCGGCATGGGTTCAAGCGAAAGCAGCAAAGATACAAAGGATAAAAAGACAGAGGTGGTCAGGTGGTCGAAGCGCTAACCGGCAAGCGAGGACGCATACCTGACAGGAGCTGTTTAGCTTCCGAGAGAGCGTTCTTTGCAGAAAGAGAGTGCTTGCAGTCAGCAGCACTTATCAGCACTTTGCCTCGCCTCGCAGGGCCTGGGAGTCGTAGAGCCACTTTTCCCCCCTCCGCCTGCAGCCTGCAATTTGGGCTCAGGGTCCTTGGCAGGATGGGGTCACGGTGTCCAGGGTCCAACAATGGGTAATGCCGGCGGCTCAGTCGGAAGGCCTAAAGTTCCTAAAGTGCCCAAAGAAGCAAGAGTGTAGTCGTCGCCGCGGCGTAGCCCTTTGCAACTTCACGGCCGTGAACTGAAAAGACGCGAATTGGCAAACAAACGTGCCACCACAACGGCCAGCTTTGGCAACGCAGTGCCACCACCGCCTTGCTGTTTCACAGTTTCAGCTTGAAAGGCAGCGTACGGTGCCATCCCCTCTTGTACTGACGACCACGACCACTTGCAGCTTCTTCTGCGACCCCTACCGTATGCTAGCTTTGATGCCTTATAGAGTCCATTGCTTTTTTTGTAGCCTTTTTTAGCGCAGAGCCCGGCTCTTGTCTTCTCAGGCTGCGGCTGCGTGTTGCTGTGCCGCAAAAGACGAAGGCGTCGAGGTCACGGCCTACGCCATCGGGGCCACCGACGGCCCGCCGGGGCCACTGGAGACGGCAAGTCGCAAAGAGGTGTCCGCGTGCGTGTCAGCTCAGGATCAACGATGTCGCCGGGCCGCAAGACACTCCGAAGTCCGAAATGAGACTAGGGAAAGGAAGTGTGCCTTTTTGTGGTTTGTTGCGAGGAGCGCTTCCAGGGATCCACGCAGAAGCAGTACGCCATCGCGATACGAAAAAAGGAGCAGCTCGACCAGCTGGGCATGGACGTCAAGCATCGGCTGCCACTTGCCACAGCTTTGATGTCTTTCGAGCCTGTCCCGCCTGCCCTCCCGCCCCCCATTTTCAGTTTTTCCCCCCACGACCAAGCAAGCAGGGATGATGCACAGCCTGCTTGGTGAACCAAGCTATGTGACAAGGAAGTCCAGTTTCGAATTCAGTAAGTTGGGTAATCATGCAAAGGCATGCAGGTCAAGATTGCTCTGCATGGAAAGTGCAAACGAAATTGCGTAGGGTTCCAGAGTTTGCGACTGAAGCACTCAGCAGACTTGCTGGGGTTTCGGGCAAGGGCCTTGGGTGGAAAGGAAAGACATGGAAAGACGGAAGAAGGCTGAAGAAGGTGGACAAAAATGGCGGCGGTAGCACGGACGGGATCGGTGCCGGAAGAGTCTGCCTTTTCTCTGGCAGTTGCATCGCGCAGAGCAGAGGGCCGTATTGGGGGGTGGGGGTGGGGGGCAGAAAGAGTCTGACAAAAAGAGTCCTTTCACGTCGATCTCCGGGCTCTTTTGGTTACTGCGCAGCCTGAGGGGCCGCTTGGTGGTGGTGGCGATCCGCAGAGGCGGGGCCGTGGATCGCGCGAACCTGGTGGCCGCGCCCCTCGGACTGAGGCTAACGGGGGCCGGGTTCTGGCGAAACAGATACAATTTGCTCTTTTGAGGGTTTAGTTTGAGGGTCTCGTCATTTCTCGCCCCACAGCCGTGCCAAGGCAACATGGGCTGCAGCCGATTCAGGCTGGAAGGAGCCCTTTAGCGAGGCGAAGCGAGGCTGTTGGCCTGTGCAGGTCAATGATGTCATCGTGGACATCAACGGCGCCACCTTGGAGCCTTTGTCTTCCACGCTTGTCTGGCACGGTCCGTGGATCTGAGCCCTGAGCCCGACCAAGGACACGGGCATGGTCGCAGAGTGCAAGTCCTCGCTGGTTCTGAACGTCAAGTTCCTGCGGAGGGAGCACTTCAGGCCAGCTCACGAAGAGCAGCTAGAACAGAGAGAGGCGAGGCTCAGATGGCCCGACCGTGCCAGGTGACCTGCTGAGGCAAATTCGCTCCCGGTTTGAGTCCAAGGATGTAGGCCATGATACCTTGAAGAGTGAATCTTGGCTTCAGAGCGCTCTACATCCCTGGGAGCCCCAGCGTCCAAAGAGCATTGGTGGCTGAGCAGTTTCACTCTGAGACTCCGAGTTCTGTCGTACACGCCGCATGCTCCTGAACCCCCGACCTGCCCTAGTTCGGCCAATTCGGCTTCCTCTCCTCCTCGGATAATCATCAAAGCCATGTGTAGATGCAGGCTTGCCAGGCAGCAAAGGCTCTGAGAAAGGCAGCGTGCGCGTCGCCTATGGTGTCTAAATCACTGCAGCGGAGCTGGGCGGTGTCTGCCGGAACGTGTCAGAAATCCTGCATGTCGAGCTCGGCCCGGTAACAGAGCGTGTAGGGCCCTACACGGAAGGGCGCAGGAAGGGCTTGGCCCTGGGTAGGGTAGCACGTTCGTTCAGAGAGCAGGGCCCTTCCTCTGAGAGCCCCCGGCCCGGCAGCCATGGACCTCGGCTTCTTGAAAAGCTTTCCAGCCGCCGAGGCCGGGGCCAACTACTTTTTCTGTCACTATAACTACTATTAAGTATTGCTATTGCTGGCCGTCAGCTTCCCAGAGCGACCCGGCGACCTCTGTAAGCTCGTTTCAAGGGGCCCCTTTACGGCATCAACGGAGACGAAGAGAGCACGAAAAGAACATGCAACAGTTCAAGACTCCCCGACAAGGTAGGTTCAGCATTGTGCAAGAAGGAAGCTGCCAAGGCAAGTTCGATATTGGTTAACCAGCTTGTAACTGAGCCGTGAAAGGTTCGGTTTGTGTGCCTAGACCCGAGGTCGCCAAGGCCAGACCTCTGTGGTGGATACATCATGCTTTTGTCAAGCTCCTGCTTCCTCCCTACTTCCTCACAGCCTGGCCCCTGACATCTCCTCAGCGCGGTGAGAGAGACTCTATATTGAGTCTTGGGAATTTCCAACTCCAACGTTGCGCAGGAACCAAGCGGGGAGGATCCTCTGGTGATTGCCTTGGCGCGCAAAGCAGAGGCAGAGAAGCAACGACAGGAGAGACCGGATGTTTTGCATGCTCGGTATTTGCATAGGGGCGCAAAGCGGTCAAGACAAGGCAGTCGCTGGAGTCTTCGCCAGATTGAACATAGGTCTGGTAAAGCTTCACATCCAATGCCCCGCTTCCACATAGCTCCCATGAGACCTGATGCGCACAGACCACGCTCCCAGCATCACTGTTGCTTCTACCGCTGCAGTTGCTGCTCGTAGCTAATCGTCTTGGACTCGCTGCGCTTGGCAATCTGCAGTTCAGGAAGCCTCGCAAGCGCGCTGGGCCTCGTGCCAGGACCACAAGGTGTGGCTGGCTGAGACGCTTGGCCTTCGCGATGGGGTGTCACGTGATGCTGGTGGTGGGCTTGTTGGTGACATGGAGCATGGAAAACTGAGGAAGAATTGGAGAAAGCAAGTCCGAAAGAAGAAGGACACTTGCCCTGCGTTCGTTCGGGAGTGTGCACGGACACAGCTCCTCGGCTTCCTCGCCGACAGTCTTGTTCCCTTGCCGTCCATCCGTCCATCCGTCCATCTCTCTCCACATCCATCCATCCGCCTATCTACCCTCCCACCCATCCACGCTATCTGGCTACCCAGCTACCTCGCTACCTTCGCTACCTAGCTGACTGAGAGCTCGCTACCTAGCTCCCCCACCACCTAGTTACCCGCTACCCGCCCTCATTTGGCGATTCCGGTTCATCTAAACGCCCCCTCATTTGGTTATTCGGATTCATCTTGAACAGGCCCCCTCAATTGGCGATTCCGGCTCACCATATGTCTTAAACGCCCGCTCATCTTGCGATTTCGGTTCATCATATATCTTACACGCGCCCCCTCGTTTGGCGCTTCCGGTTCATCAGAAATCTCAAACATGCCCCCTCATTCGGCGTTCCCAGATCCCGTTCGGATGATCCTGTTGGTGTTGCTGCCAGCAGCAACTGCCAGTAATTGCCAGCGCAAAAGCTATGACAATGGTTGCTGCGCGTGCTATTTTGCTCATCAGTATCGGCTATCGTTTCGTCGTAACGACCACCAGTTGAAAGGAGCGGTGCAGCAGCTGACGACATTTTCTCCACATAAAGAAGTTTAAAGCCCTTGGCCTGTCTTTGTTTGGGGGCCCTTGGCAGTGGCATTGGCAGTGGCATCAGCTTTTCCTTTCAGGAGGAGGAGCGGCAGCGCCTGGTGCGCCAGAAGGCGGCCGAGGAAGCGCGCGCGGCCGCAGCCGCCAGGGCCGCCCAGGCAAGGCCCCCCTTCGGCTCTGCTTTTTGAGACCGGAAAAAGCCTGAGAGAGGGTCGCTTCCTGAGGAGATCCCCGCAGCGGTTTCTGCAGAGCAGGCGGCCAAGGCGAAAGCAGAAGCGGCCTGGAAGGAGGCGCAGGCGGCGTGGCTTGAAAGCGAATGGCAGCCTTTGCTGGAGAAGCGGAAGCAAGAGGCCAAGGCTCAGAGGCTGGAGGCCGAGCTTGCGTCGGCAAGGAAGCAAAGGGCGGAGTTGGACCGAAGGAGCTACGAGCACCGAGGGATGGAGTCTGAGGACGACCGGCAACGGTCAGTGTTGGAGTTTCGGGAGAAGGAGTGTTCGAGACTCTCCCTGAGAGCTCAGACCCCAAGGGTGGCCGCCTCGATCGCCCGGTCCATCGAAATAGTCTTGGAGATGCGGGGCCTGGAGATCCGCTGGAAGCAATCCTTAGAGGAGCGGCGGTTGGAAGAGCAGCGCTTGCTTTGGTTACAGATGGAGGAGAGGAAGGAGCGGGACTACCGAGACTGGCGGAGCATGGTGCACGAGGAGTGGCTGAGGCGCTTGAGGCTCCAATACCGCGAGGAGCACCGCGAGGCCTCGCTTCGGGAGTGGAAGCGCATGGAGCTGCAGGGCCGCGACGCCCTGAGAGAGGACCGGACAGATCCCGAAAAGAGTGGGAGCGGGAGCCGAGCCCCTCCAGGGAATGAATCTCTCTCTCTCTCTCTCTCGTTTGCTGCTTCGGGCGTCCCCTTTTCCCTGGCAGGAGGAGGAGCGCTTGGCGGCGCAGTTGGAGGCGGCCTTGGCGAAGTCCCAGCGGGAGCCTCTCGTCTTCCGGCCTTCCGGTGTTACTGCAGGTCTCCAAGGTCTCGTGCGGTGGTCATTGAGTCTTACACCAGATTCAATTTGCGGCTCCTTCTTGTTCCTTGGTTTTTTGCTTCTTCATGTTCTCGTCTCTGCAGCTTGTCGGGCGGCTTGCGGCTGAGGAAGAAGCGGCTCGAACAGCAGGGCGTGTCCCCTCAGCGAGTGCTGGAGGAGGCGAAGGCTTTGGCTGAGAAGCAGCGGAAGGTCTTGGAGGAAGTCGGCCCGAAGCAAGCGGAGCAGGAGAGTTCTCAAGACTGGGGACGCTAGGGGTCGCTTATGTGGGGGTTCGTCTGCCACCTTACTCAGTTTCCTGACCGCCTGTCGCATGCGTTTCAGGGGTTGCGTGAATCTTTTTTCAGGAACTCTGGGAGGCCTTGCTGACCAAGAACCGATTGGCGAGGAAGAAGGAGATGGACAAGTCCGCGGAGCCACGTTGGGGTTTCTTTGCCGAGCCCGCCTAAGAAAGCACCTCTAAGTCCAAGTCCAATTTGCCGGGTGGGGGCCAGGCAAGATGCCGCCCTTGCTGGCTTTGCGGCTTGTGCAGGTTCGCTCTAAGCGAGTCCATGGTTTCACCGCACTGGCTCAACGCAGGGTCAAATCGGGCTCAGCCACAGGAACCATCGGCAGTGCATTACACCGCACTTTGCAGAGTCTTTCCATGCGCGCGCTATTCGCAGCTCCGGCTCGCCCGCTCTCTGAGCGATTTTACCGCGAGGCACAGGACAGGCTTCGCCTCTCCGCCAGGGCGTTTTTTTTTCTTGTGCGCCCAGACACATGCAGGAGCACCACCATGGGTTGCGCTGGCAGCCGCGAAGTGTCTTCGAAAGCTGATGTCCCTCCTGCAGGCTGGGGGCGCAGCTGCGGATTCTCGCAGTTTGCAGCACGTGGAGCCTGTCAAGGCGCCGGCACAGCTCTGAATGGCCATTCGTTCGCGGCCTCCTTGGCGGTTTTGCAGAAAACCCCTGAGTAATCTGAGAAGCTCCGGAAGGACCAGCCGCTACGGTCCTCGACGGTAGCCGCAGTGTAGACAGGGTTTGACCGTGTCATGGCTAGGATGACTTCGAGCCTGTTGATGACTTCCCGGTGCTCGGCTTACTTGTTGACTCGAAGCCTAGCGGGCTTGTGATTGCCAGAACAGTGGGCAAGTGATGATTGCAGTGCAATCTCGCCATCTGTCAGTGATGTGTTGTTGTTTTCTTGCCGGGCAGATCCATGATGTGAGTCTTGAAAGCCAAGCACGATGCATCCCGTGCATGCTGGGGGGGTACCTGCCTGCAGAACGGTTGCCAAGGAGCCACGGCTCAGCTTCAAATCCATGGAGCGCGACAGCGATGGCCACGGGCTGCCGGCATTGAAGACGCACAGCGGCTACGTGGAAGAGTCTCTTGACCGCCTTGCGGCCTTGCGCAGCTGTTAGCCTTGCCACGCGAAGCTTGCGGCGTGCGTTTCTCAGGTTGGAAAAGTCTCTGAAGAACATCAGTTCCTCACCGGAAGACCTTGAGAAGCGGGTGCGTTGTGGCCGTGCTCGCATGGCAATGCAGTGACAGCATCCCACTGGCTGAAGGGGGCCCGGAGGGCATGCCTCTTTCTGCTGCAAGCATCTTCGCGTGATGCTATCATGCCAGTGTCACCCAGCGGACTGATTTTGCAGCTGTCTGACCTAGCTGCGACCTAGCTTTGATGAATCTCGAAATTTCGAGACACTTCTCCACGAAGTGCATCGGTGCTTTGTTGGTGGTATCTTTTGACGTCGGAAGTTGTCTGGCCTGAACTTGATGTCATTGATTTGGCATTGATGCACAATCGTAGATCGCAAGTCTGACGGAGCCTTAGGGCAGTCATGCTTCCCCACGAGCAGGGGAAATGGCTTCCCGGGGTTCTCGCAGAGTTTCCAATCATTCTCAGGTGCAGGCTTCGCAGGCCCCGCAGGCCCCGCAGGCCCAGCTTTCAGCTCCGGGAATGATGGCTCATGGGTTGCAAGCGCGTGAAGCGGCGGCCGGGTCCAGCCAAGCCTTTTTCCCAACAGCCGGCAGCACGGCGAGTGTCACCTTGAGCAAGGTAGGGTGATGCACAGCAGGCACGGAATCTCAGAAGGATAATCTGAGAGGGAGCAGTGAGGCATGCTGCCCCACTGCTGGCCTGAACCCTTTCAACAGTCAACATTCACAGAATCAAGCTGAAGCAGAAAGCTCGAGACAAAATGCAGCTTGCGTCTGCCGCGCGCTGCACCTTTTGTCGTCCACCGACAAAGCTGCTACAGGAAAACATCGCTTTTCACAGCTCCGGCTCGCCCGGTGTTCATGGAGAACTTCACGTGAGCAAACTACGACATGTCCCAGACCCTGTACTTCCTTGACCACTGCTGACCGGTCGTAATAGTAAATCGTGCAAAGATGCCAGGCATGCCCTTCGGATCGAACTTCCCTGCATACGTTTTCTCCCCAGTGTCGGTGGGCTTGAAGAAAACTTTCTCATGGCAGACGCCAGTATTGTGCTGGTACTCCGGCAGTGTAGCAGGGATGTTGCCACGGTGTTTATCACCGAACAACCAATACTTCCCTTACCTCATCGTCAATGCCCACGCCCATGCCCGTGGCTTTGCGCATGTCCAAGAAGTGATAAGATCCCCCAATGATTTCAACTCTCTCTTGAATGCACCACGTACCGTTCGGTAAGGTTTCATCTTGGCGTGAATGCATGCCTCGCAATATGGATTGCGATAACGATGTGTGCACAAATGTGCAGGTCTTCCTGCTTCTTCCAGCGGAACTTCTTCTCCAGGTAGTTCGTCGGGCACGATGTCGGGAGACGGTTCCTCAAGAGGTCAGCGTCTTCTCCGCCCTCTACTTGCCCTGGTACGGCCTCTAGATGCTGTTGGTGCCACAGGGACAGTGCGTGCTGAGCCGCTTTGAATCTGGTCGAGGACAGCCTTGTTTGCTGTTGCCTCCTCGTCCTCGCGGGCCATTGACTTCTGACTTCCTGCTTTGAATGTATGGTATGTCGCCGCTCACGAAAAGAGAAATACGTTCACCTCCTGGGTCGATCACAACTGGATCGCGACCTGAGGGCCATACGAAACCATACCCTTGCTTCATGGATTCATGCATGACATGAGAGTGAAGCGAGCCTCACTTCGAAGCAAGTTTCGGCTTATGGAACGAGGCCCGCTTGCCGTAGGCGTAGGTGCCGGAGCGGGAGGCCTCTCGAGTGCTGTGCTTGCTGCCCTGCTGGGTCACTTCAGGGATTCTTCTTCAGGGCCTGAGCCTTTCGTGTGCCCCTCGAACCCCTTTAGTGACCCGGCGCCTCGGCTTGACTTTTACTTTGGGCTGGCACTGGGCACTCTTCTGGGCATAGCTGCGGGCGCTCTTCTGGACCTCATTTATCTGGCTCGGCAGCACCTTACAGTTTCGCTGCGCAACCGCTTGGCGAGCCTGACTTTATCGAGGACCCGTTGCGCATGAGCCAATCTGGCACTTCCCGTCTGGAATTGTTGGTGCAGGCTCTTTCTGCAAGGCTGGAACTGGTGGAGCAGGATAATCGTGATCTACGGGCTCGGGTGTCGCGCCTCGAGTCTGAGGGCTACGTGCTTGTGCGCGACGGACAGGAGCGGCCAGCCACTCCTCCGCGATCGGCGGGGAATCACCTGCCCTACCCGGCTCAGGCCTCTTCTCCCGAGCTTCCTCAGGCGGCGGCCTCCTCTTCTACCTTGGCACCCTCGTCGGTTTCTTCGGCGGCTCCTTCTGAGAACCTCCGGCAGCAAGTGGCGGACGAGATTGGGGCTTATCTTAAGCGTTGCTTGGCGGGGAACAACCGTGGGAGCAGCGGCCGTGAGAAGGTCAATTTGGCCAACCGGATCTACGTGGTGGTGCGGGACAAGGACGACCGGATCTACGACCCCGTCCGCGTGTGCCACTCGTGGCGCGACACCCAGCCTCTGGTGACCCTGGGGCCTGGACCTGGGAGGCAGTTCGGTGACAGCGTCTTCGTTGGCTTCCCGTCGCAGTGGGAGGCTAAGCGGGCAGTGGCGGCAGCAGGCTTGAGCTGGCCTGCCGATGGCTGCTGAAGCTGCTGAGGAACCGGGCGCGCTAGGCTTGGACCTGCGCCAGCACGCCCTTCCTACCTTGACAGGTCCCGATTTTGACTACGGCTTGCTGGCCATCCGGGGCACCGTGGCAGAAGCTTCTCCTTGGGTGGCTTTGGTGGTGGCCGGCGAGGGCGAGGACGGCGAGATCATCGTGGCGCTGCCGGGCAAGGCCTGGCATCGGACGTAAGCTCGGCGCCTCATCCCCACCAGCTGCTTTCAGTTGCCGCGGGCTGCCTCAGTGCGTGTGGTGGCGCCGGAAGACCGCGAGGCCCCTTTGGACAACCTCAGCGTTCGCCTGTGGATCGGCCGCCTCAGCTCCGACTGGCCTCGCTACGCCGAGGTGGTGGTGGTCGGGGAGGTGGATCTGGAGCTCGGCGCGACCTTTGGCGACACCCTCGAGGCCGAGCACACCGACTGCATTCCCTTTGCCTCCGACCTGGTGGAAGCGGCGGGGGACCGGATCTCGTACCAGACGGCGGAGGAGGAGCCGGACTTGCTGCAGCCAGCGGCTTCGGATCGTGGCGGCCCTCCGCCAGCATGGGCCACCCGGGTGGAGGAACTGGAGCGGGGCATGACCGACGTGCAGAAGGGCATCCAGGAGATTCTGGGCAAGCTCGGCGGGCCTGGGGAACGGAAGGCCGAGAAGCCAGCAGCGCCGCGGCCCTCTGCGCTTCGCCCTCGGAGCGCTCACCCTACAGGCGCGACTTTGACTGGTCTGGACCCGGCGGTGGTACAAGCAGCTCGGGCGGCTGGAGTTCCGGAGAGCCACTTGGCAGAGATGGCGCAGGTGGTGTCCCAGAGCCGGACAAAGCTCAAGGACCCGGCTCCTGCTACAGCCGGGCCTTCCCGGCCCCAAGGCGTCAGCGCCGGGCCTTTGGACGAGACCGAGGAGGAGGACGACGCCGAGGAGGATGTTCCCCTTCCGGGCGGCGACCAGATGGTGGCTGCAATCACGAAGCTGACCGCCGTCGCCGAGAGCCTTTCTGCTTGGAAGCGCCGGGCCACCACTCTGGAGGGACTGCTGGAGGGCAACACAGGCGCCGACGGATCTGGTTCAGCCGGAGCTGGGCGACGCAACGCGGCTGCTTTGAAGATCCTGCGCCGTGGTTTGGTGGAGCGGCCACGGGAGCTGGCCGACGGCATGCTGGAGCGTATGGGCGCAGACTTTGGATTTTCAAGGAGTTTGCCAGGGGCCGACCGAGTGCCGGTCACGGCCCGCGCCTGGGTGGAGAGCCGGGCCCGTATCCAGCAGCAGTTCCCGACTACGGTCAGGATGGCGTGGATTTTGTCGGGGATCGTCGACGCCCTGGCCCGTGGGGACAACGACGAGGGCTTGGCTCGTTCCTTGGTGGGCTTAGCGGCGATCGAGCAGCTGAGCTTGGACCGCGGCAGCTGGACGCTGGCCGAACCGATGTTGTTGGAGGAGCCGGCTCCTCTCAGCAGTTTCCATGGAAGGCAGATGCCGACGGGAAGCGAGCAGCCCTTCACTCGCCTTCTGGACGCTCGCTCCATCGATCAGGTGCGGGAGGTGGACGAGTATTTGGAAAGGCGCCGGCGACTGGGTTCTCGACGAGCTGGCCCGACCGCCCCCACGGACGAGGACGAGGACGGCGAGAAGGACCACGGCGCAGGCGAGGATCCCCGAGGCTGGCGGGGAAAACCAAAGGCGAAGCCCAAGGCAAAGACCGCCGCGGGCCGGGGCGAGACTGCATGACATCTGGGCCCGCGGGCCCTTCCGGGCGTGGAGCGCCCGAGGAATTCGTTAGCGCTGGAGAAGCTCCTCCCCGAGTCCCTGGAGCAGAGGCTCGGCCTGTTCACGCGGCTGCTCTTTGGATGGCGCTGCCCCGGTGGGTGCTAGAGCAGCCTACCCCTTTTGCTTCTTTTTTCCGCTGCCTGGTGACACAGAAGCCGAAGCAGGAAGCACCTGCTACCGGACAAGCTTTCCCTATGCCTTTGCCCTACCCGAGCGTCTACATGAGGAGCGCTCGGCGGCGGACCTCGCGACTTCGCACCTCGGAGCGGCATGCTGTGAATTTGGTGGTGGCTGTGCTGTCGTGGCTGGCTTTGGATTGCCCGGCGGCTGGCCCAGGATGGCTCTCTTTAGGGCAGCCGCTCTCGGGGGAGCAGCGTGGGGCAGTTCGTCGACTGGAAGGCTGTGTCCGAGTTTTGGTTCGCCAGCCTATGGTGGGCCCTGCTGAAATGGGCCGAGTGGCGGCTAAGGTGGAGGCCGTGGAGCAGCAGCTGGGCCGATTGGAGACCATCGCCCGGCGCTTGGGGCGAGCGAGCAGCCACTACATGGGTACCCCCGACGATATGCACTACCTGGGCCCGCGTCCCGCGGAGTCTGACCTCTCCCTGCGCTCTTCTTCCTCAGGGCGGCCCTTAAGTGGGACCGCCTCTTGCGGGTGGGGGTCGGGCTCTATCGGGGCGCCGGCTTCTACGACTACTGTGGGGCCCCGGCGTGCTGCACGACGCGAGCCCGACAAAGCTGCCTTTTTCCTGGAAAACCCGGCGGCTGAGTTTGCCGAGTGCCTTCGCCTTGGGGGCGACGCGGAGACTGTGGCCAAGCCCTTGGAGAGCCACCGGTTGGTGCTCACTGGCCGCCCGGTTTTCGACCCTAGCCCTCACTTGGACCCTGAGTCCCGCTCGCACTTCTTGAACCCGGCGGCCTGGATGAAAGACCCTGCGTCTCTCACGGAAGCCCTCCCTCGCCCTAAGTTCAAGGCTACGCGTGCTGAGCGGCTTCGAGTTCTTCGTATGCTGGACAACACAGACCGCCTGCGCTTCATCCCGGCCGGCCTCGTCGACCCTCGCTTCACCAGCGGCCTCTTCGCCATTATCAAAGACCAGGACCGGGACAGAATGATAATGGATTCTCGCTGTCCCAATGCCTTGGAAGAGGCAACCGGAAGGTGGATTCGAACGATGGCCACGGCCGCTTCGCTGCTTAGCCTCACCCTTGAGCCCTTTGAGGAATTGGTGATGGCGGGCGAGGACCTGAAGGATTATTATTATTTCTTCGAAATCCCTCCTGCTCGCCTGTTCCGGAACGCTATCACGGGGAAGCTCCCTCGCGAGGTGGCTGCAGCGTACTCGGGCTTCAAGCACGCCGAAGACGGCCATGACTTTTACTACGCGGCGCTGAACACTCTCCCCATGGGGGACCGGAACGCCGTCAGCTACGGCCAAACGGCACATGTGGCGCTGCTGCTGGCCAACACCGACGTGCTGCTGGAGGAGCTGCTGACCTTGGACAGCCGCCCCCCGCGGGGAAGCTTCGCCACGGGCATTTGCATTGACGATTTCGTCTGCCTGGAGAAGCGGCCTCGTGGTTCGGGCCCGCCTTCTCGCTCGGCCCGTGTGATGCGGAACATGCGCCAGGGCTACACCACTGCGGACTTGGAGCGAAGTGAGAAAAAGGCCTTTGAGGGCCAGACCAAAGCGAGCTTTTGGGGGGCCTCGATCGACGGCGTCAGTGGAGACGTGCGGGCGTTGCCCACCCGAGCCCTGCCGGTGATGAGCTACGTCTTGGAGATCAGCCGGCTGGGTTTGGCTACGCGTGCTCTCCTGGACTTGGTGGCGGGAAGCCTGGTGGCCATCTTCGCCTTCCGCCGCCGCTTGCTGAGCATGCTGAATCTGGTCTACACCGAGGGCCGCGGCCTGCCTCGTGACTTGGTCTTCTCTTTGAGCGCTGGCCTCCGCGACGAGCTGACCACCTCGGCCATCCTTATAAGCACGGCGGCCACGAACCTGCGAGCTCGTCCTTCTCAGGTGGTTGTCGCCTCGGACGCTTCGCTGGAGTGGGAGGCCGGTGTGGAAGCCGAAGTGGGCCCTACAATGGCTCGCGAAATCTCCCGGCACGCCTTGATCAAGCCGCAGTGGAACCGCTTGCTTCGACCCGGTGCGGCCCGCGACCGAGCTGTTGGCTGTTTGGCGCCGGAGGAGGAGCTACCTGCTGACGAGGTCAAGGCCCACCCTCTGTGGTCGTTGTTGGCGCGGTCGCTTCAGTATGGTGGTGCTTGGCGACGACCCTGCCGACGAGGCCGGCACATCAACATCTCCGAGGTGCGTGCTGGACTTCATACTGAACTTCGCCACGCCCGCAAGCGGCCGCGCTGCAGGCTCAACCTGGCCATGGACTCCCAGGTGGCTTTGGGAGCTTTGGGCAAGGGCCGGTCGAGCAGCCACGCCATCAACTTAGAGCTGCGTCGGAGCATCCCACCTTGGCTATGAAAGCTACCTGGACCTGATGTACTACGCCTCGGCCGAGAACCCCGCCGACGACGGCACTCGCAATGTTCCCCTTCGGGTCCCTTCGGAGCCGCGCCCTGCATGGTGGCCGGCCGCTGCGGAGGGGGATTTCTCTGGGCTGGACGCTTGGCTGGCAGCTCGCAGCTCCCTGCCTCAAGACGCTTTGGGCTTACCACCTGTGACTGAGCTTGGCGTTGTCCGAGCTCCTGTGGCAACCCGTCTCGAGGCTCGACGCCGCTGGCAGGAACGACCGGCTTCTCGTAACACCCGTGCCCGTGCCAAGCTTGCGGTCGACCTCGGCGGCGGCGCGACCCTGCCCGCAACAGCGCAGGCCTTGCTGAGGACGCTTCCCCCGAGCCAGTTCGTTACAGCGGGCAGTGCGGCAGCCGACTTGAGCAAGAAGGGCTTCCTGGACCTCTACAGTGGCTCGTTTCGCGCCGCCCGGGCGTTGGCTCGACTTTCGGGCGGCTGGGTCCTGACTTTTGAGCTGCACCGGGACGCTTCGGAGGACCTTCTGGAGCCGGCCTGCCAGACCCTGGTCTTGGACTTGATCGAGGCCGGCGCTTTCTACTGCGTTGGTGGGGGGCCGGTGTGCTCTAGCATGAGTCGGGCCATCCGCCCTCCTGTGCGAACGGCTGACTACCCGGCGGGCCTCCCAGACTGCAGGACTGCTATGCGCGACAAGGTGCTTGCCGGCAATAAGCACGCGGCGTTTACTGCAGCGGTGGTACAAACAGCGGCCGCCAACGACACAGGCTTCTGGATCGAGAACCCGGCCACCTCCTTCCTTTGGCAGCAACCTCAGTGGCGCAACCTTGTGGAGGGGCCGGAGCCACCAGGGGCGTTTTTCCTTGTGGATTATTGTCGCTGCGGGGCCCCCTGGCGGAAGCGCACCAAAATTTACACCTCGACCGCCCTTCGCTCGCAGCGCCTACTCTGCCAGTGCCGTGGACCTCATCAGCGCTTGAGTGGGTATTGCAGGGAGCGGCAGCAGATGTGGACGAAGGTTGCGGAGAGCTACCCCCGGCCTTTGAACGGTTTGCTGGCTGCCGCCGCGGCTGAGTGCGCGCGCCCGGTGGGTGCCCGGAGACACATCAGTGCAAGCGACATTTGCCGCTGTGGTTCGCGGCGAATCGGGGAGGCCAAGAACCCTGGACCGCCTCTTGGGTCTCTGGAGGAAGTGCAGCTGGTCAGCGCCCGCACCAAAGCCTTGCAAACCCGTCTCTTGGCTGACTTGAGTGCTTGGTTGGCCTCCCGACTCTCCCGCCCGGCTTGCCGTAGCTTAGAAAGCTGTGCCATGGCCTTCTGCGTGCTGTTACGAGCATATGGGAACTACCTCTTTCAGACCGGACAACCGCTCTACAAGTGGCGGCACCTTTGTGCTTACTTTCAGAAGGAGCGGCTGGCTCTGAGGCCCTACATGCCGCTCTGCTGGGACCTGGCTACAAGATGGGAGAGAGTGTGCCCGACGGCCCACCGAACTCCCATCCCCTACGCTCTGGCTCGTGCTGTGATTTCGCTGGGGCTGTCGCTGGGCTGGGCTCGCTTCTCAGCTGTCGTTGGCCTGTCTTTCTTCGGGACGGCACGTGTGGGGGAGCCTCTTCGCGCACATCGTGGCGCGATCCTCTTGCCTGTGGACCAGCTGCTGGACGAGCTGCCCGCTTGCTACGTGCGTGTCGAGGCCCCCAAGACCAGCCACCGGGGAACGGGGAGAGTACAGCACTTTGTGGTGCGAGAAGCGTTTTTCGTGCGCTTCCTCGAGCGGCTCCTGGCAAACAGCTCTTTGGACGAACGGCTTTTCCCGGGCTCGGCGGCGACGTTCAGGCGACGGTGGAACTTCGTTTTGCAAAAACTGGGGATCCCGCCCGTCTTCAAGCTGACACCAGGAGGCCTGCGTGGCGGGGGTGCCGTGCTGCTCTATCAGCGCGGCACCCCCGTCCACGACCTGCTTTGGCGCATGCGGCTGCGTTCTCAGGCGACCCTTGAAAGCTACCTTCAAGAAGTGGCGGCCATCAGCGTGTTGCCGGCCCTGTCGGAAGCCACTCGTCGCCGTATAGCAGCTGCCTCGTCGATCTGTGAAATCCAGCTCGAACATTACTCTGCCTAGCAGTGGGTGGCAGCACCAACGCCACGTGTTCTGTTGGGCAGCTGGAGTGGGACGGAAGAGCTCTGGAAACCAGTGCTAAAGACCTCGGGGCTCTCCAAGCACAGACGCCTAGACGGCAGGAGGCTTCGAGTTTCTTTTAAAGCCCTGGCTGCCAGACCTGCTACAGCACCGCACCGGCTCAGCCCAGGCAGTGGAAAAAGAGAAGTTTGTGGCGAGCGAACTTTCATGGATTTTTTCCAACGGATAAGACTGGTGGAGTATCCTCGAGGACGCATGCTTTGATCGGTTCCTTGAAGGATTCTGTCTGAAAGTTTGAGATCGTGTCCATGTCGGTGACTCCGTTCGCGGTCTGAAAT